AACAAATTCAAATTGGAATTCAGAGTCATCAAAAAGAACAATGCTTTGACGAAGATATCTGAGCAATTCGAATTGATGTAGATGGACTCAATCGAAGGAGATATAAGAATGAAACCGGAGCCATTCAAAGGAGGAAGCTCAAGGCCAATCGAAGGGCACAACTTGAAGGTATTCGAAAGAATAAAGCATGTCCAGGTTCATCCCAAAGCTCAAAGAGGCATGAGTATTTAAAAAGTGGAAGTCTTTTAATGTGTCTGATTTTGCCTTCAAATAATGATTAATGGTTATCCCTTGCCATTTCCATGCACCCTCCATCTCCTATAGATACACATACATACGCACAAGGAAAGAGACCGACACATACTGCCTCATACATGCACACGCTGCCTCAGAAAAAGCACACTAAATTCTAAAAATCTCATAGTTCGAAACTAGTTTTGCAGGTACCCTCAATCCAAACTAGTAAATCACGCCTTGATCCTGAGATCTCCAGGGGCATCTACAACACCGCAGATCCATACATTACTGGTTGTAAGGAAAAAATGTAAAGAATCAATTTTACGTTTTTGGCATGTCATATTAATTTGCATTCAGAATCGAAGGACCTAAGTGTGACACCCAGGTCCATGTTTGTTTTTTATCTCTAACTCCTATATTGCAGATCCAGCCTAAACAGACCAATGCGCACATAATTGAAAGACCTGGGTTTGACACCAAGGTCATGATTTTATTTTTGCTAACATTTTTTGCAGATTCAGTGTCCTCCACAGGCAATCCATCAGGCATTTTCAACAAGGCCCTTTGCTGGATCGAAAGCCACATCCTTCCCTGGATCGAAGGATGGCATCCTTCATTGGATCGAAGGATAATATCCTTCATTGGATCGAAGGATAATATCCTTCATTGGATCGAAGGATACCTTCCTCTGGATCGAAAGACATCGTCCTCTGGATCGAAAGACTTCTTTTTGTATTTTTTTTTGTGTTGTTCTTTTCTTTTAATGGTTTCTTCTTTAAATCAACATCATAAAAATCAAAAAAAATATAGTTTTAGGTTTTTTTTATTAAATTAGTTTTGTAAACTAATTAATTAATTATTTTAATATCTTTATTCAAATTAAAATCAATAGACTTAGGATTTAATCAAATTTTATTTTCATAGTCGATTTTAACTTTGTTTCCAAAGTAACACAAAAAACAAACAAAAAGATTTTATTCTTAGGATTTTAGACGTCTTTTAAAACTCGCACGTTTTTATCCTTTTGCATTGTTTCATATTATTGTAACTGCCTAATGAGTTGTAATAGTTAGGACTTTATTTTCTGCTTTTCCTTTCTCCCCAAGTTTTGGACTATGTAATTAATCCCCCTCCCCGAAGCCATGTAATAGTGTTGCTTTAATTTCTGTATTTTAATTTCCTGTACAAATATTAATTGTATAGATGCATGTTAACTAGGGATGTATGACAAGATTGAAAATCAACGCTAGCAAACTTAACACAAGATAAATACCTGAACTTAACACACTTGCACATGCGCACCTCTAGGATACTCCCACTTTGGTTACCTTCGGAAAATAGTCACAACTCTCGAAACGTGAGAGATTTTAGTGGCTACCCTCCGGTTCAAAAGATCATAAGTCCCTCGATGACCCTCTCGATGTTGCCTCGGTAAAAAATGATCTTAGAACCCTATGGTAGTTACTAAAACTTCTTGCCAAGTTGCCTTTGTGACTATGAAATGTCCCTTCGAATGTCTCTCAAACATCCAACGACTAGGGCTACCTACTCATTAATAGTAGGATAGTACGCTCTAAAGGAAAAGAGGAAAAGAACAACCTTTTCGAGTAAAAGTAGATAGTTCATAGATGCTTGTTCAAAACAAATTTTCACACTTACATAAAACAAATTTCCAAAATATTTTCAAATGCTTTATTAACACTCTTGAGGACTGATATAAGAGTTATCATATAGCAAATCGCCGCACTAAGGCATTTCAAAATACTTTTCAAAAACACACAAAAGCACAAGGTATTTAAAAAAAATGAGCTAAGCATCTAAAAGCCCATGGAAAACTACGGATGGAAAGGGTGCTAACACCTTCCCTTTCCATAATCTACCCCTTACTCAGAAAACTCTCGAAAGGTCTTTTTCTGTTCTTTTCACCCTTTCCTTTGTTGGATAAAAGAAAAGTCGGTGGCGACTCTTGCTTACCGCAACATTTGCGAACACAAATGCAAAACCAGTATAACAGTCGATTCTTCCATCGTATCACATTAGGACTCCGACCCAATGATGTCATTAGGACTTCGTTCCAATGATGATGATATGACATTAGTCCAGTGGAAGCATCAATCTCATAGTGTGGATTGAGTGCAATTTTGTGAAGTGCTCTGGTTCCAAGTGGGAATCGATCCTATTGGTGAGGATCTTTGGAGATAACAATGACTGAGTCATCAATAAAGTTTTTATACCACATGCATGAGTCTAATGAAGTGAATTTTCATTATATGTGACATTGCATAATGATTGATTACATGATAATGATAATGTGATGCTAATTGTGAGGTTTGATGACGTGTACTGACATGACGATATAATGATGTGTTTAATATGAGTATATGATGGTGCGAGTATAACATGAGGATTTAACGATGTGTGGTTTCTTTCTATTGTGCCATAACTACTATATTTATTTCTTATGTCTTTTATAATGATTATGATTTACTTGTCATTTCCGTTTGAATGTTGCCTCCACGTGGGTAACGCGCAGGTGATCACTAATAGCTCGTAGAAGGTTAGAGGATAGCTTCAAAGTGCATTTATTTTCTTTTCATTGAATAAAGGGAGTCTTGCTATGATATGTAACATCGGGGTTGTGATAGATTGATTGTGAACCATGCATAATTTTGTTATTTTAAGATTTTGTATTACTTTCATGACATTTGCCATGTTTTGGATCATGATGTTACGAACATGAAGTGTGACAATTTTATTAACACTTGAACTGCCTTTCATGGTATTGAGATTATTTTATGAAGGGTTTAAGACTCATTAATTCCACTGCGAAGTTTGAAATGAAATAGTTATGATACTAAAGATTATATTTAAGATTTTATTTGTAACCCGTGTTACGGAGCAGGAATATATGTGAAATTATGCTTATGTGAAGATGTGACATCCTTGTTGTTGTTTTATGTTTATTTATTTATTAAAAATATTCGTGAAAATCGTGGAGTTTTAGAAGGGTGTTACAACTCCAATGGAGGACCACCATCTTCTTTGTGACTCTCATCATCCTTCTTTTTATGGTTGTCATCCTCTTCCTCCTCAAGCTTCACCTCCTTAGGTTGATCAATTCATTCTTCTGTGTCCTTGAGTATGTCTCCTGTAGATGTACTTGCACCATGAAAAGTAGTACCTTTTCCAACACTATTTAGGAAAGACTCATCAAAGGTAACATGAACCAATTCTTCAAGAATAAGAAATCTCTTATTATAAACTCTACATGCTTTACTAGATTGGAAGTATCCAAGAAAGATACCTTCATCGGCCTTCGCATCAAATTTCTCAAGGTTATCGTTTTCATTATTTAAGACAAATCATTAGCATCCAAAGACATGAATATATGATAAATTTGGTTTTATACCTTTTAAAAGTTCATATGGTGTTTTGTCTATGATAGGGCGAATAAGTACCCTATTTAAGACATAACACGCCATGCCAATAGCATCAGCCCAAAAATATTTTGGTAGACCAAAATAATTGAGCATAGTTCTTGCCAACTCTTCTAAAACACGATTTTTTTCGTTCCACAACACCATTTTGCTATGGAGTTCTAGGAGCTGAAAAGTTATGTTCAATGCCATATTTATCACAATATTCTTCAAAGAGGTGGCTTGCAAATTCACCTCCATGATCACTTCGAATAGAAACAATTTTTTAATTTAATTTATTTTGGGATAACTTTGCGAAATGCGTGAAAGCTATGAATGTTTCATCTTTTCTACGTAAGAAGATAGTCCAACACAATCTTGAGTAATCATCTACAGTAACAAAAGCATAATAATTACCACCTAGACATTTAGTCCCTAAAGGACCAAAAAGATCCATGTGGAGAAACTCAAGAGGTCTCGAAGTTGAAACAAAGTTTTTAGATTTAAATGAGACTCTTGTTTGCTTTCCCTTTTGACATGCATCACATAAGTGGTCTTTTGAAAACTTTATTTTTGGTAGACCGATTACTAAATCTTTTGCAACTAACTTATTAAGTAAATCAAAGTTGATGTGTTCTAAGCACATATGCCATAACCATGAATCTTCACTCATGGTAACAAGACACTAAGCATCCGTCAAAGATACATCTTTCAAGTTTAGCATATATATATATATATATATATATATATATATATATATATATATATATATATATATATATATATATATATATATATATATATTGTTTACCCTTAAACCACTAAACATACAATTCTTCTTCTCATTATATACTATCATGTAACTATCTTTGGCAAAAGTTACCTTATAACTATTGTCTCACAATTGACTAATGCTAAAAAGCCTTCAACTAACATAACATCCGAGATAGTAATAGATGAGGAATTACCCCAATTTTACATTGGATAGCATAGGCCACACCTTGAATATTTTAACTATATATTAAATATAATTATATTTTAGGCATCAAGTTAGGTAGCTTAGCATGTGCATTGATGTATATCAACATAACCACCATGCATGTAACTAATTATTGCGTCATTCACTGTGCATCCTTTACTATATATATATAGGTGGTTATAATTCTTATAAAATGATAAGATCGAATGAATAATATGCGAAATACATTCTATTAGATATAACTCTATATTTTAGAGTGTCCGATGATATTTCATAAAGGACCAAAACATTACATTTATATAAAAATTAAGATGAGAGATACATAAAACCTGACTACCAAAACAACGTTTTCAATATAAACAAAAGCATTATAACAGTTGAAATATGAATTTAAAAGCAACAATGATGATATAATGGAATTGGATGCATTTGAAAAAAACTATATCCTTAATTTGCATAAGAATGCAAGATCTTCTGCATACAAAGTCACCTGGTAAAATAAGAACCAAATAAAATGAATATAGTTTAGACATATAACTAGAAAATTAAACAAAATGTTAAATAGTTGTTCAATGAAACATGTCATAGATTAATTTTAAATGAAAACATAATACTATATAAATAGTTTTGATGAATAAAATTTTGAAGTGAATTTTACTAACCAGTTAACCGAAGCTTAATTTCTCTTGAATCTATTCAACATCACCATCAAAGTTACATAGAACTTGTCACCAACGCCATCAACAAACCGATAATATGCGTGCCTCCATTTTTTGAGAAGAAACAATGAACCACACATCCCCCAGAAACCTACTGCAAATCCAACTCCCATGCCTCCATATTTTCACATTATAAGTAACCATATGAGTCAAGTTGTATACGCAGTTTGGCATGGAACCTGAAAGTTTATTATGTGCAAGGTCCAAATGAGTCAAATAAGAAAGGTTGAACAACTCTGGTGGAATGTTCCCTTCAAATTGATTAGCTCTCAATATGATCACTTCTAAGTCTGGCGACATGTTGACTGGTATTGTTCCGGAAAATTTATTTTCTCCCAAATTCAGGACTCGCAATTGTGTCGATTGAGAGAGGTGCGTTAGAACTTCACCTGATAACTTATTATTCCACAAGTTAATGTGATATAAATTTTTTAAGTTCTTCCAACTATGTGGAATTGATCCTGAAAAGGAGTTGTAAGACAAATCGACTTGTTTAACGCCCCTTGGTGATATGTTAGGGAGTCCTCCTGTGAAATTATTGTGACTTAAATCTATCAGCAAACCCTTTAGTGTTAAGTCTGATAAGTCTTCAGTCATCGAATTATTTGATAAATCAAGAGTAACGTTTATTCTTTCTATAAGGCTCGCAAACTTATTCCTATCTACCGATGAAATTCCGGAGCTTGATAGATCGTAACCGTAACTCTAATAGTGAAGGTATTTTTTCCACTGCTTGAAGCCAATTGGTTTCCTTATGAAGACGAATTCCACTAAGGCTGAGATATTTCAAAGAAGAAAGTGGAGAAAGCCAATCAAGATTCTCTTTCTGAAAGTTAAAAGCATCTCTCGGTCTTTCTCATTGCATGAAACCATGGTGTGATCAATGGTAGACATGGTTATGTGGAATGTGGTTATAGATAAAAGAAGAAGCAAAAGAAGTGACATTTGTGTAGTAAGAGTGGTCATGAATGATTGTTTGGATCAAAGTATGGTTTGCTGAAAGATGCAAGTGTGATTATATAAGACGTTGGCTTATGGAAAGCTTGAATAAAAAGACAAGACGACTTAGAGGAAGACTTGGAATTTTGAAATTTCTGATTAGAAAGCGTGTGTGGACAGCAATTCAACCGTAAGACGATGCAATTTAGTTTTAAAATGTGAAATAAATGAAAAATAATTTTAATAATTTATTTTTATTTGTTTTCTTCTTTCCCAACATTTCTAAAAATGCATCTTTATCAATTATAGATAATAGATATTCTACATTCAAACGTCTCAAACTCTATGAAACCACTGCAAGAAAAATGGTTTTTGACTGTGAGAGTAAAATACAAAATTGTTATGAAATGTACTTTTTGCAGCAGAAAAAAAAGTCACTACATATCATTGGTATAAGTGCTATTACGAAAAGTTTTGCAACAATATTTGATGTCGCAATAACTAATGTTTTTACAATAATTATAGTAGTTACAAAAATGTTTTTGTCAATAATTAAGTCGTTGTAATAAGTCATTTTTTTGTCATTGATATAAATTGTTATATTTTTTATATTTTGACAATAAAAATAGTTGTAAAAATTTATATTTCTCAACAACTTTTGTCAATTATATATATTTTACTCTATTTTAAAAATTTGTATCAATCACATTTTCAATTTAAATTATCACAATTATTATTGTTAATGCGACGCTTTTATCAAGAAACATAAATACAAATTAATATAATAGTGAAATATTAAATTTCATAAACTATCCCTCTTAATATCAAAACTTAAAAAATAATAAATAATCATATTTTCATAAAAAGCAGAATTGGAAAATCTATATCATTTATAAAAAAAAAAAAAGAGTAACTCCAACCAACAAGAATATTGACTCTTCTTTGTAACTTAATGTTTCATAACTTTTCTTCAATCTTTTCATTACAAAGTAGTTTAAACGCTCATTCCTTGATCTGCAATTTAAACACAAAAAATTATAAAAAATTTATGTCTTTTTCCGTGCTTTCTTTTGCATAATATGAACAAGTTTTTTCAACCAATAGTCTTTTTAAAAATGTTAATTATAATTAGAAATAATAGTTTATCACAATTATATATGTTTTACAAATCACTTCATCACAATAAAACATAAATTCTTTATGTATTGTCAGCTCAATGAACAATATAAAAAAATATTTCATAATGTTATTGTTGATTTTTACAAATGGGTCAAAATCCAATCAAAAGCAAAAAAAGTTTTTTGAAGATTTTGAATTATAGGAAGTCGATCATAGAAGCATTCGACCAGAAGAGGTTTATAAAAGGCTAATTTGGACTTATAGACGCAGTCGACCAGAAGAGAGGCCTCATGAGAAATGGATTGGACCCAAGAGTGTTAAAAAGCCCAACAGAGGGCATAACTAACAAAGCAAAGCATTGTGAATAGAGAACGTTGGTTCGATAGCAAGGATGGAGAACGTGGATTTATGGAGGGAAGTTACAATAGAGAACATGAGTTCGATAGCAAGAATGAAGAACGTAGGTTCATGGAGGGAAGTTACACGAGACACGTGACTCATAAAGAAGGGAAACCCGCTAAAAAGTAGGTATTTTTATGTATTATAAATAAAGCACTTAGTGCATAGTGCAAGGGGTTCAAACTTTCACATTCCTACACGCTAGTCACTCAGAGTACCCAAGCGTACGAGGGAAATGAGTCAAGCACGAGCGATGTATGTTTGAATCAACTCATTTTCAATTGTTTTAATGTTATGTCATCTATTTCTACAGTTTAAAATGTCTTTGTTTTATTTTATGAGTCCTGGTTTATTGCTTTTAAGTCCGTTTCGCCTTAGTCGAACGAACCCTTTTGAACATACTTTGTGAAAACACTCGAAAATTGAAGCACTATACCGAGATTCCCTGGTCGATCTTGCCAGTAAACTTTTTGTTAAGAGCCAACGTTCTCTTTCAAAACCAGAGGTAAACAAATTGACACACCCAGTGGAACAGTGCTAATAATTTCTTATTTTGTGTGTAGTTTTACAAAGTTCTTATAGTTAGTGTGTGTATGAATTTGAGAAGTGGTAAACTTTTATCCAAGTCTAAAATGCCATGCTCCAACACAAACACGACACACACGCAGATTTTTACACAAAATATGGATGTCGTACCAGTAAGTACCACAACTCAAAGTGCAACAGTTTTATCTCCCATAAGATCGACCGATGTTCATGGTTCAGGGACAACAGTCACAATGACAAAACCTAGGCACGTGATATCACCATTTGACCCAAATCGACCACTCTTTCCAAGGGGTCCAAGGTCATCATTTGTCCCTTACCAATATGGTATGCCTTATTCCATGATTGTTGGGTTATAGTCGAACCCGATCACATATACAGAAAACACAGTGGCCACTGGAAACCAAGGCAGTTAAGTCCCAAGTAGTCGACCAGGTGGTGTTAGTTACATCCCGCAGTCGACACCATCTTTGAATACTACTTCCTGTGGACTATGTTGAGGACATAATATCTTATGAGGATTAGAATTACGTAGGTTGTACGGAGGAAGTTTCTACTATATGCGGGAGAAATGTTCAAACTCCTTTATCTGCTAGGAGGATCTTCTAGGGAGTATGATTATGTTAATAGCTGGAAGATGCCTCAATTTCTGTCCGAGGATATATTAGGCTCGCTGAGGAATGTATCTTCGTCGAGGATGAACTTGTGCAGGTAGCTTTGCGGGGATTTTTCTGTGGGGATTTATGGACGACTTGAACATTATCCCAACTCCAAGAATCTTTAGTAAATGCTAATTCCTATTTTTAAGCATATATTTGTTAACAGTAATCATATTCATATGCATATGTTCATTCAATTTAGTCATTGGTCATTTTGGCAAACAAAATAGAGAAGGTAAAACAAATTTGAATTTTGAAGCATGTTTGTATTGATAATTTGCCTATAAATAGGCGGTTTTGTATAAGGAGACAGAGATCATAGTAAGAGAAAATCGTCGTAAAATGAAAAGATTCCAAATTAAAAACAAAACATATAGTTATGTGTAAACAATCCCATCGAGTTTCAACTCTGCTATTTCCTTTATGTCTTCGAGCATCTCATCCCTTGCTGACGTACGAAGTTGACTGAATCGGTCCATATCTTTCAAACGTGACGTTGGCAACAAAGCTTGTTGTATGTAGGTGATCCAACATGACATAGTCATATGCTTTAATCCCTAACTTTTTCCTGGACCTCCCTTTCGGGTTTTCAGTCCACCGGGATACCCTTTTTTTGCCCAAGTCGCCTTTTCACGTTTTAAACTTGCGGGTAAATAATCTTCGATTGGTTGTGAATCATGCATGATTTTTTTATTTTAAGATTTTGTATTACTTTCATGACATTTTCCATGTTTTGGATCATGATGTTACGAACATGAATTGTGACAATTTATTAACACTTGAACTACATTTCATGGTATTGAGATTATTTTATGAAGGGTTTAAGACTCATTAATTTCGTTGCGAAGTTCGAAATGAAATAGTTATGATACTAAAGATTATATTTAAGATTTTGTTTGTAACCCGTGATACGGAGCATGAATATATGTGAAATTATGCTTATGTGAAGATGTGACATCCTTGCTGTTGTTTTACGTTTATTTATTTATTAAAAATATTCGTGAAAATTATGGGGTTTTAGAAGGGTGTTACAACTCCAATGGAAGACCACCATCTTCTTTGTGACTCTCATCATCCTTCTTTTTATGGTCGTCATCCTCTTCCTCCTCAAGCTTCACCTCCTTAGATTGATCAATTCGTTCTTCTGTGTCCTTGAGTATGTCTCTTGTAGATGCACTTGCACCATGAAAAGTAGTACCTTTTCCCAACACTATTTGGGAAAGACTCATCAAAGGTAACATGAACTGATTCTTCATGAATAAGAAATCTCTTATTATAAACTCTATATGCTTTACTAGATTGGGAGTATCCAAGAAAGATACCTTCATCGTCCTTCGCGTCAAATTTCCCAAGGTTATCCTTTCCATTATTTAAGATGAATCATTTGCACCCAAAGACATGAATATGTGATAAATTTTGTTTTATACCTTTTAAAAGTTCATTTGGTTTTATACCCTAATTTTTCCCCCTAAGAACCTTTTCATCATACCATATTGATTCAATCACAACAAGATCACATTAGGGCTTTTGGTTCTCCTCCTTATCTTTAGCTTTGCTCTTTGAGGAATCACCAAGCATCTTGAATTGTTTTTCTTTTGCGATAATGCATGTTTTGTTTTGAATTTCCTTTTAATTAAT